ATATATGTTTTATGTGGAGCTGTTTATCGTTAAATAAAAATTTTAGTAATCTCAATAAATTAATGAAATTTATTAGTTTACACATAGTGTTTATGCACGGATGTTAATTTATTGATTTACAAATTCGTGTAATATATAAATTTTAAGACAAAAATTAATCCAGTTTAAGGTTAGGGTAAGGTTAGCTTTAGGATTATAAATAGTTAGGGTTTATATTAAAATTTGCAAGGAGTATTTTTTTGTTAAACTCAAAAGTTGTTTTATAAACAGGATTTTGAGATATCCACATACCCATGCATACCCATGTACATACACATAATGTACAAATAGAAATTGCCAAAATTAATTTTCTAAATTTTAAAATTAAACGTACCGCTCAGAGGACTTATTTCATCCATCAACTTTTCCAACGCGCTACCTTGTTTCTGGGTCCAAAATAATATAGGCGACCCACCGCCAATTTTCGCATATTGTTCTTGAATTCTAGAAGTTCTTCTTTTTGCGATAATCGGGGCCACAGATTGTTGGAATGGGATTGGGATAAGATCAGGATCTGAAAATAGTCTAGTTAAAAAATCTTGGACACCATCTAACGTTGAAGGTCCGCCTAGGTTCATCAACACTATTGCTGTGGGACTATAGTTGTTAGGCGAAACTTTTTCTGCATAGTGACGAAAGACAAGACCCTGACGAAATCTTAAATCCCTCTGATGAAATACAGAACTTAAGATCGGAAATGATGAAGGACGAAACCTGGCAAAGCCTTCATGAAAGTTAAAACCAGACGATATTTAGAAAATCGAAACGAAAGATTGAGTTATAATTAGTAAATCATTTCTATAATATCAAAATGGGTTCTTACCTTTCATAGATTTCCTCAATATCTATTGCTATAGTTTTATCACCTTAATTCGATATTGTTTTAGACGCTTGATTATCTCGAAAAGCCTATCCAAAAAAGTATCGAATCGAACTTCAAAAAACGGTTTTTAGCCAATCATATTTCAAGATCAGGTGTAACATAAAAAATCTCTTCTTATCGTTGTGCCTGATCTTGAAATATGATTGGCTAAAATAACGATCATGAAATTTAAAACAATCGCTCAGAAATTATCAAGTTGTCTTTTTCGTCCAAACAAAAAAATTCCCTGTTTCCTGGGAAACTTTGGCTGCCGTTTGTTGTTACAAAGACTTCGTTTCTATTAGAGAGTGGCGATGCAACACAATGAATTATAATTTTATCAAAATAAAATACTTAAAAAATAACAAATTAATTAATAATAAGTAACTAATTTTTTAAATAGTAAAAATTTTCTAAAATCACTCATTTTTAAACTAATATACAATCTAAATTGTTTTTTATAAATTAAATTCAAATAGTATAATTATATAATACATCACTGTTGTTGACTGGAAGCTGGAGCTTTACTGGGCGTCCAGATATTTCCGGTGTTCCAGTTTTCCTGTGGTTCCAGTAAAGTTTTGACTGGAAGGGATTATTTCACTGGAACCGATATAATATTAGCCAATAGAAATACGAATAAGAATTAAGGTCATTACATACACGTGATATGTCTGATAGCCAATCAGTTGCAAGCATACCTTTTATTTTACTATGTACGTACATACATGCATACCAGATACATAACTACGTCGAAGGTTAGAAATTCTAACTTTATAAACTCTAACAGTTAAATTTTATTTATAAATTTAAATCTATACTTTAGTCAAGGTATATATTTTCAGGCCCAAATAAACCCAGGTTTACTCGTAGATCTAACCATCTATATTCATGTAATTTGGTTTTAGAAATAACGGACCAAATAGATCTCTCAGTTTCCATTTTGCTTTATGATCTATTG